ACACGACAAATTTCGGACAGAACAAAAAGAATAAAAATCAACCTTTAATGAAAACTATTTAATTAAGACAATGATTTATGAAAAATGATTTTTAACGAGAATTTAATAGAGAGACAGAGAGAAAAAAATGTTTCCCTTGAGCAGGTATTTCGGGCGGTCGTGTGCAAAGCCCGAAGGGTGAGTTCATTTGAGCGCCACTAGCTTTTGCAGCAAAGCTAGAACACTCAGCGATGGAATGCTGCCGAAATACCTACTCAATTCTTTTACTGTGATAGTACATAAACTGACTTGAATGAGGATATAAAAAAACGAAAAGGGTGAGCTTATTAACGAACAAGAAAACGACGTTGTTTGACTACCACAAACTACCGTCTGCAAACCGTTTGATCTATGTTAATTACTTAATTAAATACAAATTTCCAGAAAATACAAATTAAAACCAGTAGCAATACTCGCCCCAGACACCAGCGAGTCTATGAAGTCGCCGCCACGTGCTGTCGATGCCTACGTGCTAGGTCCAGATCTCATCCAGACCGTCCCTGGCTATCCAATCCGCATTTTTAACCCTTATAGACCGTTCAGAAAAAAATTCCAAATCACCAAACCAAAAAACGCAGAGAATTGCGATCTTTTCTCGTTCCGTTATCCGATTGTTATATCAGCCAGTGTAAATAAAGTTACCATAAAAAACTGCTTTTCAAATAGAAGCTTTCGAGTCTAAGTTTTTTTGCAAAAAATACACCGTTAAGTTTAAAATAAACTGAAACGTTACTTCTTGAACTTACTGTAGAAACTTTCTTCCATATAGTTTATAGAATTTACATAATAATGAGGGTCGGAATTGAAAACCATAAGTACAAAAATTAAAAATACTTAACTTACAGCTTAATCCCCTGACTGAAATGGTAAAACTTTCAATTCGCTTAAATCGTTCGCTATGTTTTTCGATTGATCGCTCAATTGCAAATGCATTTTTTGGTAGAAACGTCATATGTATTTTGAGGCGAGCCCGCCCTGATAATTTGCTTGTGCTGATGAATCTTTGATTAGATTTGACTAACGACATTTTTAGTACGAACTGAAATATGTCTGAGACTTTATTCAGGCATCAATGCAAACATCATACCGACGAACAATCCGTTTGCATTGTCTTTACATGTCAACGACGGAAACGCTTGCTATCGGCAGAAGCAACGGGATGTTAGATTCGAACGCCATTTCTAGCACGATACGTTGTGTATGCTTTCCTCTGAATGCCAGTCAATTGAAAAATGTCCTTTATTTACTAGCTGGCAGATATTATAACTCGCTCATAATACATCGTGTCTGCAAAACATCTGTACAAAATGATACGACAGATTCCTTGGGTAAAATCACGATAATTTAACTAAATTGGTCTAATCCAAAAGTCGACCGTTATCTATATACAGCGTGCAAAAGTTAAGAGTAAAAACTTGGGTAAAACTTATTATTATGTTTTTAAGCTAGAATCGGAACATAATTTCGTATCGGGGGGTTTTAAAAGGAGGGGAATGAAAACCCGTTAATATTTTCGATGCATATTGAATATGGATCTGCAAGATAATCGCGAATCATATTTAATTATTACTTATGACGAGACTCGTGCTTGTACACATGTTTAATGAAAAATCGGTCTCTTGATAGAAGTCTCAACACGCATTCCATCTTGAGATCTTTGAAGTTTAACGTTCACCGCGTCTCTATTAAAGTAATGATTGGTACAGCTGAATATCTCCTTATCTATTTGAAAATGCAATTTTTATTAATAATTATTAGCCACGATTATATAATCGTGCACTTAATGAAGGTCGGTAGTTTTCAATATTTGTATTGTCTGCTTTTTTTAAGTATTTGGATAGCTTCGGAGTTAAGTCAATCTTGTGGGACCTTTCCTTCATCTATTATCAGAAAAACAGAATCGTCAGTATTTGCTCTATTTTTCTGCCGCCAATTTTCAGCATCTCTACAGTAATCCTGTCATCTCCTGCACATTTATTGTTTTTTAGCTGAATGAGTGCAATTCTTATTTCAGAGGTCATTATTTCTGGTTTTCCTTGTTCGTTTTCTTGTTTAGAGACTTAAAACTATCCGTTGTTCGATCTGTCTTTTCCCGTCTTTCTCTGAGAAGTTTGACTAGGTTGGAGCTTAACGGCTTTACTTCTTTTTTTTTGTGAGCAGGGTTTTTTAACTGATATGTTGATGGTTTATTTTATTTTTGTGGCTGGTTTGTTTATTTGCATTTGTTTGATTGCCTCTATTGGTGCTAGTCTTGTTTCTAATTTATTTTGGTACTCAATTTGTTTTCCGATGTTGGAAAGCGTTCTTGTTTGATGAGTTTGTTGCTTTCACTAATCTGTGGTGGCTTTCTGAATAAAATTTCCGTTAATCAAAATATTCTTTACTGCCACAGAAAAATGCACAAATTTTATGGACAGGGGTGTGTACTTTCGTATTGTACGTAGGTGCATATGTTGTTCTTATTGTAGAGAATGTAGCATCTTCTCCCTCTCGTTGTTGTCACCAAGTCCGAAGTGGCCAATATAATGTGTCTCTCCGTCTTCATTTGTTCCGATTTTTGCGTTAAAGTATACTTGTTTTTGTTTTTTCGTGCCCCTTTGCCTTTATCATATCTTCGTTAAAGGTAACAGCTTCTTCGTTATCTCAACTTGCCGTCGGTGCATATTCGTGTACGATCTGTAGGCTACATCTTCTGTTTAAAGTCACTATATTGTATATAACCTTATTAAATATTACAACACGACAAATTTCACAGACACAGAGACAAATAAAAAAATCAACTTTAATGAAAACTATTTAATTAGTACCATAAATTTATTATTACAGTTATTTAAATTTGACGAAGAGAAAAAGGGCAAAAAAGATTTTTCTTAAGCAGGTATTTTGGACATTCGTATGTAAAACCAGAATGGTCTATTCGTGGAAGCGCCACTAGCCTTCGCAGCAAACCTAGAACGCTTAGCGGTGCTCTGCTAACCGTTTGATCTACTATAAATACTCGAAATACCTACCCTAATACAACTAATGAATAAAATTCAATGAAATAAAAACCTAAACTAAAAATAAATTAACAAAGGGTTTTATACTCGCCCCAATACTAGCTCTACGTCTACAAAATCGCCTACACTTCGTGGTGCCAATTTCCGCTCGACGTGCTTACTCCAATCTCATCTAGGTTGTTCCTGGCTATCAAATTCACCAGGAGAGTAATTCAAAATCCCCAGTTGGGAACCAGGCAGCAGCTGATGACCCAAACAACAAACAACAAACAACAACAAAATCTACAACAGACGGCAGGAAGATGGCGGACTCGGTGGACAAATTGGTCTCGGCGACGGTTTCGTTGGGAAAGGACGATCGACTGCTCTCTCCCACCGTTGGTACTTGACTCTCCTTCGTTGAGTCACCTTCCGTCCAAAAGCTATGGTGAGCAAAGTTGGGACAACCACCACGTTGCGGGAGAAAACCATTACAAAAACTGCTGATATTTGGGAGGGAGATACAAATGTTTAAACATTAAAATATAAATAATACTTGAGATATCGGTAACCCAACCGTACAAGCTAACTAAATCCAAATTACAAGGAAATATCGGTTTATGACAAAACATTATTACAATTATGACTTACAACTACCTACATTTGCCAACGGTTTAGCAGACAGGTGGACCGCGTGTTAAAATCCATTTTTAACTGCTACTATATTGCACGGTATTTTGTTTTTTCGCAGGCAAATATTTTATTTATCAGGAGTGCTACTCCTTCTATGTGGCTATTTTTTCTTAATGCGTTTTTGGTTATATTTGACAAAATGGCATTACTGATGATTAACTAAGTTTAAATAGCAATTTGGGGGTGGGTGGGAAAAGTGAAAATTCCCATAGAACCACGTTCAGTTGCTAAAGGTGTAAACTGAAATTGAAAATTCGGCACTAAGTATTTATATAGGGTTATCAATTTTATGCTTGGGGAAGTAATGTAAAAAAAACACACACAAAGTATTCAGATGGAGACGAAAAGTTTAATTCAATATAAACATTAAACCTTGCCATTATACGTGAAAAACAATACCATTTAAATGTCCTACACGGGACCTCCTACAGGCCCCAATCCTTTTGAGGTAATTTTGAATTACTTTTCGGCGCATTACCGGTAATATCTCGGTCATAACTTCACGGATCTTGGTTTTCAGTTGCTCAAGAGTGTGAGGATTGTTGGCGTAAACACGATCTATTGCATAGGCCCACAAAAGAGATCTTGCGGGCCAATTGACATGACTCAATCTCGAAATTACGCGTTCTGGAAATTTCTAATAACACCACCGGACCATAATGCACACCGTAATGATACGGTCACTTTTTCAGGATGCAAAGGCCTTTCTGCGATCACCTGAGGATTTTGAGAGCCCCATATACGGCTGTTCTGTTTATTCACATAACTACCCAGCGAACAATGAGCCTCATCGCTGAAGAAAATTCAGTTTTAAAAATCATCAACGGCTTGTTGTTCAATCACCCAATTTGCATATGTTCTTTGCCCATGGTCTTGGGGGTTAAGTTATTGAGTCAGTTGGACTTTGTACGGATGGGGCTTCAAATTCGTCACAATGAGACGTAAGACAAGCCCAAATGTTGAGCACGTCGGGGAATCGACGAATTCGGGTCTTCCTCCACACTTTGAGCAGCAATAACGACATTTTCAGCTTAACGAAAGTTGCGATGATGCACAGGCCTTACAATATCAGTAACCGATCCAGTCTCTTCAAGTGTTTCCACTGTGTTCGAAATTGTTTGCTCTGTGGGTCGATTATTTCGACCGTAATCTGCTCGTAAAGCCCTAAACTTTCATACAGCAGAATCATCATTTTTGTAGTAATATTTAATAATTTTTTCGCGTTCTTCGACAGTTAAACGATCCATATTCCAAAAAGGTAAACCTTCAACTAAAACAAAAACGTTTCGGATGACATTTACCTTTGGCAGATATCAAATGGCAAGGTTTTACTTTTCCAACCTCGAATTGGATAACCCGTTATTTATAATCGGAACAGCCGGTTAATCTTTCTGCTGATTGGTTTTTACTGCATAACTGATTTTACTGTTTTTTAGGTATGGATAACAGCACGTGCACTTTATTTCATTTAAACGACATTTTGGAGTCGTTTTATGTTGACAGCTCAGCGAGCAATATTTATGGCGAGGTGAGTTAAAACCGACTGCTGAATTTCAATGAAGATTTAGGGCACAACGATCAATTAAAACTTTTGAAGTCAATATAATTCTGCCTAAGAATACCAGCTTTCAATTACTTAATTGTGGGGTTTTATTGGGTGTGTATTACGAGTCACACATTAATTGATCCGGTTAAGGTTTTGGAAAGACAGTAGCGTTCTTTAATGTTCAAGATTCTCCAATTACCGTCTTGAGAACAATATTTGGCCAACGTCATTTGTATTTTGAACAATATAATATTTACTTTAAGAATTTAAATAAAAAACTAAATTATAAAATTAAATTATAAATACATTTACAATTGAGATTTTTTTTTAACAAAATTCCAATTCAATATGAAAACTTGAAAGTATGAATAATATATGGAAAGTATAACAACTTTCAAGAATTTCGTGTGTCAAGCCTCAGTAGTTTTGGATATGCCCAAGAACAAATAGTAATTATAGTATTTCTTCTAGCACTTGATAAGATTCGAAATGGACGACGTATGACTGTTGATCAAAAAAGTGTGTGCACTGAAATTGACAAATATTTTCTTTTCCATCGCATTAGAGAAATAATAATGGGCTGTCGTTTATCGTTATTTATAGGAGGGGGAGTTTATCGGGGATTAAGGGAGCTACTCGCTCAAAATTCCGTTGCTTATAAAATTGCAACACTGTGTCATGGGAAACGTAAAATTCGCAATTACTAAAGGGCGGTTTATTTTCCCAATCGTTTTGCTACTTGCCAATGCTATAGCCTCTGCCTAAATGTTACCTTGGATCTAGGGAAAGTTACGCATTATTGACATGGTCTTACTTCAACATGTTAAAAGTAGGACCTCAATCAGAATAGCTTTATTTTAATGTGATAATAATTGGCATCCACAAACATTATAATATTGTGCAACAAAAATGTGATTTCTGTGTTTTTCAATTTTATTTATTTCATCATTTAGGGCTATAAAATTTAACTAAAATGTGTCCTTTCAATATAAAACAAAATTTCCTTGTTTTCGTATTGAGTGTGCCTGCCAGGCGAAATGTTTTAGAGACGCAGAGACGTTTTGTCACATACTTTTCGTAATTTTTTTTTTTGGTAAACAAATACTTTGAATTTAATGGTATTTCTGAAATTACAATCTGATCATGATGATCAATGAGAAAAATTTATCAAGCCTAATTTACTACCGTTATGAAACTTATACGGGGTGTCAATTTAAAAACTTCCTACCCTCACTATCTTTTTTGCAGCTGAAAATATGAAACATTCGAAAGACCCGTCATTTTTATTTGTAAGGGGGACACTTTAAATTAATATTTTAACCTCCTGTGTCCACCCCCTAGGAGGCGTTCAATTCTCTTTGCACTAGTTACCACTGTGTTGCTTTTTGTTCAGAGGTTTCCGAATAATCGCGCTCCAAAGTTGTAGACACAATTAAACTTGCGTGCATTGAGATATTGGTTTTCAGGTTAGCGTTTACACAAAAACAATTGCATTGGGTCTCCTTGTAATACAAATTATTAGAAGAGTAGGTTACACTGTTAAAGTCGTTGAGTAACAAGAAGAAAATCTAGTTTGATCTTTTTTCTTATTTATTGATTATTTCATATCGACAAAAATGACTTTTTATTTGTGTAGGAGAAATTTTTACAATCAAACCATGTCATCTGCTTATGCACTATCTTATATACAGGGTGATTCAAAATTAGCATCATTCCTCCGGATGTGTTGTCTGGCGCTGTTATAGGAGTACAGAAAAATAGTAAAATAAATTAATTGTTATTAAAAACTGAGAAATTTGCAAAAAAACTATATCAGAAATACAGCAGCAATGTTTTTCAAGGCAATATGCCTAACTAACATTGCGCAAATTACTGTTCCTTGGTAATTATTTAAAACTACGGTAACCATACAGAGTGACCATAAGATATACAAGGATAAACGGTAAATTTAACAAAAATTGTTGACTGCGGAACGTACTTTCGAAACGTCAACCTGTTCTCATAACCTAGAATTAGTTAAAAGGTTAACTCCAAACAAGCTAGCCTGTGTAATCTCCTTATTATTCACTCTTATGAAGCAGCTTCTCGTATTCAGTTAATTAACTGCTGCTCCATTTGGATCTCTTTGTGCTGTCTGTATCGTACAAACGTGGTAGGAATGTAGCCCTTTCTCGGTACTTATTTGGTGCTTGGGAAAGTGTTAGTTATTGTGCTCTCAGTACCCCTGGAAGGCCTGATTCGATTATGTCCAATACTTGTTCCTCTGTGCCTGGAACCCGAACATCTATTGTCGTCCACTATCTTCCTGGAACCACTCTCCTCGCCCTTTGTTGGCGTGAGTTCTTTCAGCTTCTGCTGTATTACTGTAGCATTTCCCCTGAACTAATTGCAAATCCGCAAATTTGTGAAAATATATTCAAAGTAAGTCACAGTTTGACAAATTATTGTTATTATTGACAAGGGCTATCCACCTGTAACCAGATCGCAATTTTTCTTTTCGAATGCTTAACTATTCCAACTGCTAATATATTTTAGAAATTTGAGAAAAAAAATGTTTCAATATTTGTCTCCTACTCCATAAGTGAGCCTCTATCACCCCTTAAAGGGAATGACGCCAATTTTTGATCAACCAGTATATCTTATAAGCCTAACATTTTGGAAAACCTTACCGGGAATTGAGCGGCTTTCTGCTGCAATTAGCCTTTAATATCATCAATATCAGCAGGCTTTGTTTTATAAACGATGGACTTAAGATGTCTCCAAAGAAAGAAGTCTAAGGATTAGGGGTTTTCAATTGGGTGATCTTGGTAGCCATTCAATTGGCCCCCTTCTGCCAATCAATCTGTCCCTGATTATCTTATCAATGTCAGGGGGTATTCGAAAACAGACTTTATTGTTGGTTACAGGAAAATAGACAATATTTTGTACAACTTATAAGCTAGTGCGTCAGTACATGTCATGTGTTTTATTGTAGAAATTTCTCGTCCGTAAATAAAAAGTATTTTTTATCGAAGTAAAATAATCAATAAATTCGAAATCAATTGTGCAAACTAGCTTTCCTTCTTGTTATTCAACGATTTTAACGGTGTAACCGAATCTTCTAAAAATTTGTACTATAAGGAGACCCAATGTTTAAACACTAATCTGAAAACCAAAATCTCAGTACAGGCTGGCAGGCATTTCTGTAATGTTGAAACGCGATTATTTGAAAACCGCTGAGCAAAAACCAACAAAGTAATCACTAGTATAAAGATAATTGACGATAAAGAAACGCCCTTTAAAACGCTGTTCCACTTGACCCCCCATTTTTTGAGAGAGAATTTGATTGTACATAAGTACTTTGTTATATATTGAGAAGGTGGAATTTCGTCCAAGCAGCCAATACATTTAATGTCTAATTGTTCCTTTTTTTACAATTTTATAACATTGTTGCCGTCTTTCTGATAGCGTTTTTGCAAATTTCTCGTTTTTTTATAACAATTATTTTTTTCTGTACTCACAAAACAATCCCCAGAGAACACCTTCAGAGGAATTACGCCATTTTTAAATCACCCTGTATATTATTTTTACCAGAGGAATGGACGTTTGGAATTTTTTTTCCATTCGTCCAAGATCGTGTTTTGAGTATTGAAACTTCGGCCAACGTGCTAAAATATACTTTTAAGACGAATTTGAGGCTGAACTTGTACCAAATTTATAATTTACGAACTGTAAGTAAGCTTTAAATTAGGACTAATAGTTATCGGTAAACCGACGTAATTCACTAAAAGAGCATGTCGGTTACTTTCTATTGAGAAAACTTTACTTTATTTTATACATCACATTTGCACACATCGTGCAGAAAAGTGCTTGTGTAAAAGTAATGCAAATGAATACTAAAGGAAAGTCCTTTTTCATGATCATCGATTCTGATCGGAAAATTGCAGTTTTTGATTCATTTAAACTATTCCTTTTTGTCGCTTATTATCGTTTGTATTCTTTTTTCGTGTTCATTCTTTTTTCTTATTATATAATAATAATTTTCCAAACTTAGAAGCAACGCGGGACTTATATCAGATCATGTGCAGCGTTGTGCTATAAAATCTAGATATTCTTCTATGATAAAGATTTCTCTCAAAGCTCAGCGAAATAAACAACTCGGGGCGCGTTGCATACTTGCAATTTTAATGCTCAAAATGGGAACGGATGTACAGTACAAATAAAAACTTATTATCATTTAGTTAAACGCACATATTTTTATTATTGCATCGCATAATAATAATGCGAGGCGAACGAGGTGGACATTTTACAAATTAGCAAGGTATACGAAAATAAATATGCTGCGACTGTAGTACAGCGGTACTATGCGGGCAACCACTACAAATGCCGCAGTTATGAAATTAAAAGAAGTTTAAGTGTAGAAAATTTGATATTAGTTTTGTCCTATGTTATTATCAGATGTTTTGGAATCCATCGCTGCGATCTGATGCGATCCATCAATTATCAACTTTTTTGCTTTAGATCTGCTAAACTATATATTATATAAAAATAACTTATTAGGTTTCCATAAAAAATGTACAGATCCTCCCTACCAAGGTTTGGTGCTATAAATATGTTGTTATTAAATATATTTTAAAGCGGTTGGTCAACTAAATGAAAAAACTCATGCTTGACATGGACAAGGGATGAAATGATCAGTTTTTCAAAAAAGCTGACTATTTTAATACATTTTTAAGGAAATTTAACCTGTTTTCTAAATTTAATTGAAGAACGGCTAATCTAATTAATTGAATTAACCTGAACGATAATTATTTTTTCATTGCAACAGCTCCTCCCTAGGAGCTGTTGTTTTGTTTTTACCTGCGGCAGACATTACCAACTACGATGAGATAATAGTCGCAGTGATCTCCAGTTTGACAGCGCTCTAACTCATTCAACACCTGTCCCGATTGGCTCCTTTATAGTGTCTCCAGTGCTTCGATAGCAAGGACTCTCAATCAGTTGATCCCTGCACAAATTAAATGACATTATCTATCCGTCTTCATCTTCTTTTTTTGTGCCTTGTGCTAATCCGCAGGTTAGCGAATGTCTGTA